TGAAAAATTTTTACGAGGGGGGGGGGGAGGATGGTCGCAACTTGGAAGCCGTTTCAAATTCTCAAGCCATCGCAAAAAATTTGGGGATGGCTTTCGAATCCTTTGCGAGCTTATAAACTCAATCAAAAAATAGAGGCGGTTTCCACTCCTCCCCCCTCCCCTCCTGCTCTTCTCTCCCAGCAGAATTTTTTTACCAAACTGATTTGAATTTTTGGGAAATTTTGGAACATATCACTAGCTTGCAAGTAAAAGAAGCAACTTGCACAAGGCGCGGGCATAAGCCTTGATCTTAGCGGATTTTCGAAATCCTGAAGCGCAAGACTTTGGAGGTGTTTTGGTTTGCAGCCAAAAATCCGAATTCAAATTGAAATGATGAATGCATAGATATCATTAATGAGTTAGCGCCGTATAAGAGCCTTTGCGGCTTTTGAGGTCCAGGGTGAGGCTACCTCACTAGATGTGGCGTACCCAGGATTTCCGTTCGGGCGGGGGGAGGGAGGGGGGGGGGGAAACAAAAATTTTTACGTGGCGTTAGCCACGCACTCCAAGAAATTCTTTGAGATGCTTCCCAAAGTTTTTTCGGACCTCTGACCCTAAAATTTTGAAAAAAGGGGACCGCTCCCGAAAATTTTTTTAAAAGGCTAATTTGAATTTTTAAAAATTTTCAAAAATCTTCCAATTATTTACAAGTAAGACAAGTCCTTGCACGTTTTCATAGAACATCTCAGTAACTTTGGGGGCTCGGTACGCCACTGCTCAGTAAGTATATAAAGAAGTAAGAGCTCAGTTATTAGTATAGTGATTTGCCACTACCGTGTCAGGAACTGCTTAGGTAAGCATCACTTTGACCTTGCATACATTTTCCAGTTCCTGTTTTACTAATGTGGGCTTCTTTCTGACTCTTGATGCAGTTTTCACAGGATAGATTTGAGTCATGACAGTTGAATAAAAATCTCGGCGAAGCAAATCCTCCAATTTTGCATCTTTTCGGCATAAGTGCCATCGTTGGTAGTGGATTTCAAATCCAACAGCAGATTCGGATTCAGCTCGCCGAGGCGAACCTTTTAACATATCGAAGTGCGTAATCGTTCGGTCACAGCAAGTGCATGGTAAGAATCCCGTGGTGGTTTTTCTTAAATGTGTAAATCAGGGCATATGTGGGCAACGGTGTAGGATGAAGAGCGTTCGAAGAAGAGTTTTTACAGAGATAGGTGAATTGAATTTACATGAATTACTTACCGTCAAACAAACATACTTTCTAGTGGCATTATGATTAGCAAAACGAATAATCTTTGTAATCAGCATGTCTTGTTGCTTATATGAAAGTTTGCGCCAATTGAGGGGCTTTGATTTTTGAGCAACAATTGCGAGCATGCATGTTCGCAAGGACTCAGTTTGATGCACAATGCGTACGTGAATTCACGAATGGTGGGAATGGACAGTTCTCCTCCCAGTAATTGCTTTCAATATTCTTCAAAGAATCTTTCGAATAAGAAGAGAATGACCAGTGGAGTTTGGAAAATTGCGCAAAGTCTACAGTCTCCTTACCGTAACTCTATGAAAAACACGCCACTGCGAGAAGCAACTGCAATAATCGTGACCAGCCTGTTAAATAAGTCACGCAGGCAAAATATTCGACAATCCCTTCAATTTTCTTTTCCTCGCGGGTGTATTAATAGCATACAACCGCTGCAGCTTGGTGGCAGAAGCACTGAAGTCACGAAGCAACCGATACAGCGTAGACCACATGCCTGCGCACAAAAATTGAGTCTGCTGAGACGAAGAATATTGTAATAGGTTTCACTTGATGAGATGAGCATAATGCTCCCTTCCGATTGGACATTTGGGTTCTGAAAGAAGTTGTGGAACTGCGCATTTTACGTGATCGAGCGAAATCGCGGCAACAACGGAATGTCGCGCGAACAACAAAGTGGCCCGGGGTCTCGCAACAATCGCAAATTCGGTAATCAGATAGAGCTTGCAGATACAGATTGGTATTACGAAACTTTATCAAACATACTGAAAATGAGGGCTTTGATTTAGACAAAATAGTATTAAAGTGTGCAAAAAGTGTAGCATGTTGCTGAAGATGGAGTGATGCTGCAAGCATATCCGATAGAACTGTTTGCAGAAATGCTAAACAGATATGACTTATTCGGATAAGTCTTACAAAAAGGGGCTAAAAATGCAGGAAAATTCGTGGTATTATTAGGCTGGAAACTAAGTTTTGCAACTGTTTTCACAACTTCACTCTCTTTGGATGTGGCGCACTCAAACTTTGGCATTATGTAGAAGGCAATGTGAGCTACAAGTGAGCACAAATCGTCTAAATTTTGAACACGAAATAGAAAAGTTTCAGGAGTTTTTCGAAAACAAATGAAATTTGAGAAATTTTTGGGTTTCAAGCTAAAATAAATCCTTTGGCAGCCTAGGCCATGCGCAGTAATCCGAATTCGTCTACAAATTATTGCTGGAGGTTGACTCCTTTGGTCTAGTAAGAAAGAAACAAAATTTAGGCTCATGTCGAGATTTGGCGTCCTCATAAATTCGAACGAGTCGATGTACGCAAGAGCTGCTGAGGACGATCGTCAGTGACTAAAGAGTCCGAAGCTCAAATTCCGCCGGGACTTTACACAGTATGATTATTTGACCCGCCAGACGCGAATATCATATTCATTTGTTGGATCAACGCCTTTTTGCTTGTTTAGGCTGAGACCCCATATCGTACACCTACAGTAATTCTACAAAAAAAACCCTTGTCACGCAACTTCACTACGGTTTTCGTGATCAGCATGTCGGATAACATCCCTATGCCAAGTTTCAGCCAAATCCGTCAAACTTTGAATTTTTCCCCTTCATACCATGCACCTACCGTAACCCTCACTGCGACGTCAGAATTTGGTAGGACAGCAACTGCGCTTGTAGCTTACTTAATGACCAACGCAGTGGCAAAATTTGAGTGCGCCATGTTGAGTGAGAGGAAAGTTATGAGACCAGTTGCAAAACTTAGTTTCCAACCTAATACATGATTCAGTTACACCCTCCCTACTGCAATTTTTTTGTGAGACCTCTCAGAGCGGAAGGACTGCTCTTTCGCAAACAGTTAGTAAGTCGTGCAAAGAGAGGTTTCCGGTCGTTTTCGTGACTTCAGTGTTTCTGCCACCAGGCTGCGACGGTTGCATACTAATAATACACTCGCGAGGAGAAGAAAATTAAAAGGATCTGAATTGTCGAATAAATGCCTTGCCTTGCGTGGGTTATCTAATATGTTACTGTATTTGCCTCTCACAGTGGCGTGTTCTTTCATAGGTTACGGCAGACAGGCTTTAGACTTGTTTTCCAAAGTTCACCTGCCACTGTCTTTATTCGAGAGATTCTTCGAAGATCACTTATTGACAGGAGTTACTGGGATGATTTATGCCGATTTCCACCTTTCATGAATTCATGTACGCAATGTGCACCAAATTGCGTCTGCGTAGATCCATGCTCACAATTGTTGCTCAATATTTAGAGCCCCTCAAGTGGCGAAATTTTGCTCATATAAGCGACAAGACATGCTGATCATAATCGCTCTGCGGATCATAATCTCACTATAGGGTCTCTTTGTTTGACGGTAAGTGATTCATGTATATTTTCTAAGTTTACCTTTCCTTTTTCTTCACTATAAAGAGACATGGTTTTCCCTATAGAACATTTGAAAAGTCTTCTATCGAACGCCCTTTATCCTAAACAGTTTCTTACATTATGCGCTGAGTTTACATTCAAAAAAACACCACCACAGAATGCAACGGGTTCCTACCATGCACTCTACTGTGACCGAATCGATAACAGCACTTCGATATATTAGGTTGATTCATAATTAATGCACTTTTTTCTCACCTCTTCTTCTAACAAGGGAACGATACTCGGTGTCCGTGGCCTTTTGAAATGAGATGTATATCATTACACTCGTCTTGGAACGCTGATTCCAAATCTTACTTCCGTTTCTGCTAATCGCTCCAAAGATGTCATCATGGATCGCGCAGAGTTTGGCTGCCCAGTGAAAATTTGTCGGAGCGCCAATGGCATAGGTGCGTTGTGGTCTAGTGGTTAGTTCGATAGCCTCATGAGCTGATGCAGCTCTAGGTTCGAGTCCTTTTTTGTTTTTTAGTTTTGCGCTGCCTCAATCAAACTTCTTTCACATCCTCAAGTTAAGTGAACGCTCTTACTCTTGAAAAAATGTGGAATTTTGGAAAAAATCACTACTGTTTGCGCTAAAATGTATTCAATGGTCATAATTCGAGTAAACTTTCTCGAACAAGTTCAATTGAGACAAAAGTAATGCGAAAGTAAGAACGCAAAGGATTTGAACCTACATCAACTTATGAGGCTATCGCACTAACCATTAGACCAGAACGTGGTCGCAGTAGAGGCCGTTCCAATGACCATATTTCCCTTAAGCGGCCAAACTTGGATCGAAATCCCTTCATAACTTCTTTCAGAGAAACGTTTAGCAGAAACGGAAATCAGATTCGGAATCAGCGTTCGAAAACGAGTGTAATGGTGTACATCTCGTCTCAAAAAGCCACGGACATTGAGTATCGTTTCCTTGTTAGGTGGTCCTGTATTTGGAAACCTCAGAATTCGCTGAAACTCGGACCACGAGGGTTATTTTACTTGCTGATTGCAAAACGATGCTCTTATGCTTTATAGATCTTTTTATGCTTACTGTACGTATACGATAATGGGTCAAACAGCAATGTGCTAGTATTTTGCATGACGAGCCTAATTGACGTTGTTAACGAATATCATGTTATGCGAACAGCGGACGCTTGATAACGACCCCTCTCCCCTCCCTGATTCCTCAATACGACCCCTCAGGTGTGGCATGCCATACCCCACGCTTGAACCTGGTTGCGACCCTCATTCTCACACCTCGAAACGAAGCCGACAACAAAAATTGCATAAATAACAGAAAGAGGCTGATATCCATATCTATGTGATCATTCAGACTTTTTACTCGGAAGGATACAAATCAGCACCATTGCTCAAAAATTTGCTTATATGAAAAATGTCTTAATTTTTGTTCTCTTCTTTTACTCACATCTCGCACGTGCGCTAGCAACGAGTACTTGGCATAGCAGCTCTGTCATCTTCTGCTTTCTTCGCACCACTGTGTTTCTTTTCAACATCCACGCGCTTAATCCTTTTTGATTCTTCGAGTGCTCAGAGGTATTCTTGAGGGCCAAACTATTCTTTTTTGATCTTTTCCTTTTGTGCTGGTTTCCTTCTGAAATTAATGCAAAGATGAGCTATAAAATTTTTGAACTTTACCGATTCACTCCATTTTCGTTGAATCTGACCAAATCTAAATCGTTGATTTTCTTTTTATTTTTTCTGTCTTTCCACTTAAATTGTACCCAATTCAGTATCGTAATCAATAACTTTGCTTCCAACTCTTTTTTCCTATTAAGTTGGCTAAAAAATAAGTTCGTTTTTGCATACAAATCATCATAAAAAATTTTCTTGTTGTTTTCAATCTATGATTCTTTGTGGGAAAATAGTTCGAAGCTTCCTTCATCACATATCAGATAATCAGGATTTTCTATCATCAATGAAGACAGTCATGCCTCAACATGGCAAAATTTCCAAAAGCTAAATTCTTTAACTTCCTAAGCTTCGTTTACATGCTGTAATGGATGTAAAACACAGCAGTTTGGTGTTTGGATACAGAGGAGTTTTTCCTGTTTAGTGAACAAGAAAAAGAACTGTGATCTGCCAGTTTGAAAATGTTTCACTAGGGAAACCAAATTTCCTCATTTTTGCGCATTACGAGAAAGTTGCGCTTTTTCACTTCTTTGGTCTACAACATTTGTAAGAGCTGAAAAAGCGACCGAACTTATTTATTAGCCAACCTAATATCTAAAGCTATGCCTGCAAAAAATACAAACTCACAGCGCAAAGATTTAGAGACTGTTCAAGAAGATCTTCAGAGTAAACCTGTTAGTTTCCACCAGCTTGGCTTAGTTTCACTGAAAAGCCATGGTTGTCTGCCGGTCATGAATGAATCCTGCAGCCTTTCAAAAAATTGTTGGATGAACATATCGGAGGTGCGCGATAGAGTGATCGTAACAAAGGGCGCAATAAAATCACATTCTCGAACGAGATTCTATCGCGCTTAGATGAGCTTGGTAATGGGGCGGTTGAAAGAGACAGAAGCAAAGCCATTGCAGGCCTGCCCGAACATGCTAAAAGGGATGTCCTATCCTTTGCGGTCTAAACGCCTTAACGATATCGAACAGAAAGTACGTGAAAATCTTGACACGTTAGATATCGAGTGCAAACCTGTAAAGGTTTTCCGAATGGGTTGTAGAGTGACTAACAGGCGTGTGAAAATTGAATTACCCACAAGAAATTATAGGTCCTCCGCCTTTTTTCGGGCCCGACTGCTCCGAGACTCTCCAATATTTGAGGGGGTCTACATTAGCAGGAGCATGACGGCTCCAGAAAGGGAACGTGAGCGTGGTCTTCGCAAAGAGGCTAGGAAGATGAATCAGAAAAGGAGTTTTGAGGAGAGATCATGGTTTATCAAGGAGAGCTTGTTCCAATGAGCTCGCTCTCGCAAAGCAGAGGGTCTCCCTTACAAGCTTCACGTAATTCTCTTCGCCACCTCAAACAACATGCTAGGAAAACTGAGTTCCTGAGCTAGGCGACTTTCTCAAATGCTATCTGTTAAGTGCAAGATCATTACAAAATAAATTATCTCATTTGCACCATTTTCTTTTCCCTAAAACTCCTGATTTCTTTTTGCTACCAAGATGTTATCTCTCAAGAGAACCGATGCAGAAATTTTGTCTGGTTTATCGCGCTTACTTTTTCACTTCGAACTTGAGGCAAGGAGCTGTATTAAAGCAGAATCTATAAGTGTGATTACTGCCCTTCAAAGTGGTAGCAAAGGGTTTGAGCACACAATATTTTGCCCTGTACAGTAGAGAAGCAAAAATGACTAAGACGTCGTCGAAGCAAATTTTCGATGCAATCTATTAGCAATCGCTAAGGAGCTTGTTGTAAATGATTCCCAATGACACTAAATAGATAATCTAAAAAGTATTTTTTTGCATCACTAAAAAACCCACTTAGCTCCTCTGGATAAAAGTAATGTCATCAAATCAATGATTCACTTTAGAAATCATAATCGGCTAAAAATCTGATAAAAGAAAAAAGTAGCTCCTCTGGATAAAAGTATTGTCATCAAATCAACGATTCACTTCAGAAATCATAATCGGCTAAAAATCTGATCAAAGAAAAAAGTTTACGAAACATTTGCCATAACCGAATATTCTATTTGGATGAAGATGGGCAGAATGGAGTTCCGAGTCATGAAGCTTACAGAAACGCATATGATCTTATGGCCTCAAAGAAATTAAAATATGAGTGCAAAAGAAAGCTAGTACTCGCTTTTGTGAGCAAAAAGCCAAATTTTTTACCGTCTCTGGTGTGAGTTCAAAACAAGCATCATGCGAGATAATTATAGTGTAAGCTTGTTACATGTTTTGACATAAATTCACAGCATGTCATCAAAAGCCACGAATTTCGGAAAGGAATAAATCTGGGCGTTCATTCATTAAGCCTCGAGCCAAGTAAGTATTTGCATCTGCGATACTTTATTTAGAAAACGTGAGATTTTTTGACTCTAACTTTTCGGTAAAAAAGTATTCTTGAGCACCATTTTCTTAAAAATACCATTCGATTTTGAGTATTGCAAAATTCAATTAATGGCAATGCGATTGAATTAATTCAATGATTGTTGTATGATTAAACAAAGACTTCCTACGTCGATTGGCAAAATCATCTAGAAGCTCAAAAGCATCGTAAACTTGTCATTTGACACACTTGGTCACAAGCAACGGACACACTTTAGTCACGAGTTGCGGACTTGGTTCAAGGATTGACACAAGTTTTTTGCTACGGTAACTGTCAAAAGATTTTCTTTATCTAAATCTTCAAAGCTGATTACACATAATAGATTAAAAGAAGTATTCACATATGACTGATACAGGACTTCATTTATAAGTGTAAAAAAAGAAATTGTGTCCGTGTCGATCATTCCGCCCTCGTTTTCTCGCTTCAAATGTTGTAGGCTTGCCTTCCACAAATATTCCTAGCGAGGCCACAGGGTAAGCCCTCAGCAGAATCCATTATAGTCACATAACTTAACCCTATTTTACAAGTCTTTAGAATGCTGAGAAAAGGTATTATGTGAGAGGTAAAACAAAATGTTGACCTTTCCTTTTCTGGTATCTTAGTACAGTCTTTATCCAAAAAGGTGCATTTCTATTATAAGTAAATTCCTAAGTTAACAATAAATTTCGTTCTTTTCACAATTTTATTGCTTTGCTTCATGGCCAGCAGAGAGACACTCACGTGTGAACTTTACGATCCTCTAGTGAGCAAGACAGCTTCGCTTCATGCAGAGTTGAGAGCATGCAGATTGGAGTACAAAAGTTCTTGTATGTAATGCAAAAATTCCGACATTGAGTGATCACTGGAGCGACTTCCTCTTCAACTTGTCCTCTCCTCTTTGCTAGAGTCCGCAAAAACAAACTAGTACTGGCTTTTGAGAAAAACGCATTTCAATTAGATAGGTGTGCTCAAGGGAAAAATCGTGAAATTAAAGCGGCAAAGGCGTAATCGCTTCACAAAGGACTATTTGCCACCTTCGTCCAAGCCCTGGCTCACATTTCTGACAACCCTACAAATTCTATTCGTAAACTTCTATCACTGTTGTGTTTGCGAGTTAAAAGTACCTCAAATGCTTTTGTAAAGCGCATGATTATCTTTTTCAGACGAATTCAAACTTTTGAGAAAGCAAACGGAATGTAAGAGGCTATAAATTTCTTAAAATGGTGCTAACACATTTTCGGGCTAACCTAATATTTTCACGGAAGCGAATGGTCTCTGCATCTCAGTATTTTTCGTGAATTGAAGAAACCGCAGACGTAGATGTCATACGGGTAGGAAAAATTCAGTGGTATAGGCTTTAACAAAGGTATCCGCATCTTGAAATTCGGCGTATGACAACCAACGGCGTTCGGATGTCCGCAAACGCTCCACCCAACGTACACTGGGGGGGGGGGGATACCAGGGGCGTTATTTATCAATCTCCTATATAAGTAGGGATCAGTGGCCCCAGGATTTCGGCTCGGGGGAGGGGGGCGCGGCAAAAAAGTTTTTCAAATGAAGGTGCGTGGCGTCAGCCACGCACTCCGAAAAAATTTTAGGGGGGCTTCTCAAATTTTGCCTGCCTCCAACTCCTAAAATCTGGAAAAAGGGGGCGTGGCGTCAGCCACGCCCCCGAAAAAATTTTTTTATAAGGCTAATTTGAATTTTTAAAAAATTTTAAATATTATTTTAATTGTTTACAAAAATGAACAAGTCATTTGCACATTTTTATAACTCATGTAAGTAACTTTCAAAAATTTCGCGAACCCGTTCTCGGGGGGGGGGGGGGCGCGCCCCCCCCCCCGCTCCCCCCCCCCCTCGGTACGCCACTGGTAGGGATTCCTGTACAGGTAACAGCCCGTACAGGCGCGGGCACTGCGCCCGCGATACACGAATTATTATCGAACATGGTCGATCTGGCAAGTTTGGCCATATCGGGCACGGCAGTTAAGCAGCACAGCCCTACCCGTCGAGATTGGGCTCTGCTGCCCTACTGCCATGCCCGATATAGCCAAACTTGCCAGAACGGACCACATTTTGAAGTTTGATGAATTACGGGATTCCCCCTTTTCGGACACTAGTTAATAAGGGCCCGAACAGCGAGTTGGAGGTTGATAAATACCGCCCCTAAGCGTCAACATGCAGCACATTCTTGCAAACGTCCCGAAGGTGTTCCTACGCTCCTTTCACGTGGACTGTGCCAAATCAAAGCTTAGTAAGGGTTTCTACTGCTAACTAGTGTAGCTATATCTTGATCCTCATAGAACTGGAAATTTATTGAAAGGAAAACGGGAAGAGTCAAAAAAAATAAAAACGCTATCCCACTTTCTTTCAATTTTCCTGCCAAGTCCCACCAAAGCTACTGTGTACTACTGCAACAGCGAATTGCACCAATTTCTAATCACAACGTTGTTTGCATGACATTCGTTTCTCAACCGCGTTTCTAGTGGTCTGGTCTGGTTTCCACTTCCTGTTATCCTGTATGGTCCCTTTACATCAGACACGACCTAGTCTCAAAAGGCTTTCCTCTACTAATACTACAGTATCAGTGTGCAAAGCCAACTTGCATCCTCATTGGGCTGGCGGGGTGTTACTTGCAGAGACTCATTGCCCTGCCGAGGATGCCCAGAATCAAGTAAGAGGATGGCACTCAGTCGCTAGAAACGACTCCCACCTCCTGGCTATTGTTTCAATAAGACCCTCCAGAACTACTGCACACCTAAGATAGACATATTTGAAGGCCTCACCAAGCATAACGAGTAATGTTATCCATAATTAACGGGTCCAATAACCCTTGTGGACCACGATGTGCGGATTTCGAAGTTTACAAATACTGGGAAATGGGTGAAATGGTCATTGTCGAAAATGATTAACTTTGTTGCTAAGGTGGACTTACTATCTCTTTTGGCATTCAATACAAAACACTACTCCTCCTTTGCCTACCCCAGAAATCCCGCTTCAAAAAACCTAGAAAAAAAGTGGAATTAAAGGCCAATAAGAATCTCCTTTTCCCCATTTTTCGCTTCTGATGGCTATAATTTCCAGCTATTTCTTACAGAAGAATGGTCAAAATTCAAAGTGGTCAACCTCAGTAAGCCGTATACCGTTATCCATGGGGGACTTGTCATATATCCGCCTTCGCTATCTGCCTATCGGCCTTTTACACGAAGTTAAGGTCCTCGAGTCCGTCGTCTGCCGCCGCCCATCTTAAGTAATCGTCGCCCAGCTAGATGAAGCTAGAAGTTAAGTTGGACGCAAAGCGCAGTTTCAAGGGGACTATTTGCAGCATTTGCAAGTGTTCACTGGGTAGGGTCGATTAACATTGGAGGACACGCACGGTAAGCCGTTCCTTGTACCGTTGCAGCCACCATATTTTGAACGATGTTACGTTAGGGCCGGGCTCAGCACAGTTATCAACTTATATATAGAAACTGCCGTCTAAGCGGGAGCGCAAAAAGTTTTTTCATTCCCTCCACAAACCCATACATCAAGCTGGATGTGGAGGT